GGGGGAGAGAAGACTCACCCTATAGAAGCGTTGTGTATCACATCTTAAAAGTTCTAGCAGAATTTGTGCAGTTGATTTGGACTGACAAAAGCCCTTCATTGCTTCAACTGCATCCCATTTGGCTGCTGTGTTTTTCTTGTCTGCCAGGAGCAAGATTCCCTTTTAAGCTGCACAGGGCGCACAGCGTTCCTCTTCTGTGCACCTATAGTGAGTGAGTCTTTGCAGCCCCTTTGGGGCTGGTCACAGCAGAACCCCATGTGTGTGTGATGGGGTGAGTCATGCGGGTATAGGGCTGAGTCCCACCCAGCAGAGCTGAAAATTAGAGAGAATGTTGGCCAGGAGACTTTTGAATGAGTGGTAGGTTGGAGCAGGAAGAAGAAAAGAAACCCCCCAAATTGGGCTTTGGTAGATTCTTTGCAGGTCTTTTGATACATGACTACTTCGAAATGTTTCCCCAGGTGTCTGCAGGGATAATTCCTGAAGCGGGTGTCCTCACTGATCATAAATATGCTGATCTGTTGGACAGGGATGGAAAATCTAACCTGTGAGATCTCACAGGCATTGCCCTTCTCACCTGCAAGCTTCTGCTGATATTTAGCATTTAGAGACATTTACATTTTAAATTCCCTGCATAGACGTGAGCTGTGCTTTGCAACCCATAAAGCTGTAGCTCAGACTGTTCCGTGCTTTGCAGGTGGGGTGGGTATTTTATGAGGGCGTACTCCTCAGTAGACATAAATAGAATTGGGCCGTTCTTTGTATGCTTGGCATAAAAATGTCCCTCTTAGAGAGACTTCATATATCTCTTTGATTCCACCACATGATTTTCATCCTGCCTAGTGCTAGAATGTGAAACACTCCCCCCGTGACTAAATCCTAAATTGCAGGTCAGCCCCCCAGCTTCCAACGTGTCTCTATCCTAGCTGCAGGGAAAGCCAGTATTTTAAGGATGCTGACTCAAGACCATCTCTTACGTGCAGTTGGTACCTGTGCTTTTCCATAGATTGGGCCGAAGGCAGCTGAAGTCCTAAGTTCTATAGCAACCCTCAGAGGGCTTTTAAGGTAAGTGAGATATTTAAGGAGGCGTTTTACCAGTTCCACACCCCAAGTGAATTTACATGGCTGAGCAGGGGGTTCAAACTGAGATCTCCCGTGTCCTAGGCCAACACACCACACTGGGTGTCTGAGAGTATGAGGTAGTTTCAGTTCCCTGTTTCGGAGAGCTAGTGTTTTCTCCTGAACTACAGTGCACCTCGTTGGAGAGCAGATGCCAGGTTGCTTCAGACGGAGCCCTGGCAATTAAAGCGGTTTCAGCCTGATATGGCTGTAGAGCACCCGTTCTCGATCGGGGTTCCTGGAGCATTTGAACAGAAAATCCCTTTCTCACTGTTTTCCGTCTGTGGGGGACACAGACAAAAAATGGTGAGAAAGGGGATTTTCTGTTCATCCGTTTGTGTTGTGTCCTCCTTTGACAGGGGGCCCTGGAATCTGAGAAGAACTCCTAAGAGGGCCATGGTCAGAAAAGGGTTGAGAATGGCTGCTCTAGAGCAGTGGTTCTTAACCTTGGGTTACTCAGGTGTTTTTGAACTGCAACTCCCAGCTGGTGAAGGCTTCTGGGAGTTGCAGTCCAAAAACACCTGGGTAACCCAAGGTTAAGAACCACTGCTGTAGAGTACAGGCACATATAAGTGTCGGAAGTTGGTTCCCCCCCCCCTTTTTTTGGAGGGACTGGTCTGTCCACTGAGCCCCCAGGTGGAGTCCAAAGTTGAAGGTTTCCTGGCCTGGCCTGTTGAGATCTGCTGGCCTGATGCTTGGGAAGCTTCTTTCCTTTGTTTTAATGGCCCTTCCTGTTTTGTGCCCGGCGACAGGGTACTCGAAGAGGCGACGGCCAGCCAAGCTGCTAGCAAGAAGGAGACTCGGCTGGAGACGTCGGGCAAGAACAAGTCCTACGATGTGCGCATTGAAAACTTTGATGTATCCTTTGGTGGGATTTTCTGTTCATCCGTTTGTGTTGTGTCCTCCTTTGACAGGGGGCCCTGGAATCTGAGAAGAACTCCTAAGAGGGCCATGGTCAGAAAAGGGTTGAGAATGGCTGCTCTAGAGCAGTGGTTCTTAACCTTGGGTTACTCAGGTGTTTTTGAACTGCAACTCCCAGCTGGTGAAGGCTTCTGGGAGTTGCAGTCCAAAAACACCTGGGTAACCCAAGGTTAAGAACCACTGCTGTAGAGTACAGGCACATATAAGTGTCGGAAGTTGGTTCCCCCCCCCCTTTTTTTGGAGGGACTGGTCTGTCCACTGAGCCCCCAGGTGGAGTCCAAAGTTGAAGGTTCCCTGGCCTGGCCTGTTGAGATCTGCTGGCCTGATGCTTGGGAAGCTTCTTTCCTTTGTGTTAATGGCCCTTCCTGTTTCGTGCCCGGCGCCAGGGTACTCGAAGAGGCGACGGCCAGCCAAGCTGCTAGCAAGAAGGAGACTCGGCTAGAGACGTCAGGCAAGAACAAGTCCTACGATGTGCGCATTGAAAACTTTGATGTGTCCTTTGGTGAGCGGTGAGTCCCTACAGGCAGGGATTAGGGAGCAGAGATCGTGGCATGTTTAGGTTAGGTTGGTTGGTTGGTTGAGTGATTGATTGAAAGCATTTATAGCCATCCCTACATCACAAGACCTCAGGATGATGCTACAGAATTCTACAAAACAATTTATAAACATAACATCTTTGAAACAGTTTAAAATTATCATCATTATTATTATCATCATCGTTGGACAGTTTAAAATGCCAATTTAAAACATTAAAAGCATTGCCTTTGTGCCTGCACAGGCCACCACCCTCAAGCCCCATAGGCTGTAGTAAGTGTGGTTTGCCTTGATGCCAAAAGGGTGCTCCAAGGGGAAAAGATTTCATGGTCTGAGTGCTTGCATTACAGTGTTAAAGTTACCATTTTGTTAAATGGTATTAAATCAATTTGAACTGTCCTCAATCATTTCAAATTGTACATGGTTTTAAGAGATCCTGCCTTGATATATATAGGTCTGCATTGCTTGGGATCTCAGGATCTCAAGGTCCGTGTACTCCAGATGTAAGCCCATTTTGGCTTTGCAAATCTTTTTTATTTCAGTCCCCATCAGCACTTCCCAGTGTGACCAAAATACAAAGCATCTAGAAAAGCATTAAATTGTCT